CCATAAAGATGTATGGGAGAAGTGGAGGACCTTGGCGCTAGATTGGAGGTGGTCAGATTCACGTCCCTACCACCCTACCCCTGGGTAACAGCCCCCAGTTGTCATTGGACAGGAGGCTGGGTGCACCTTAGACATTGTATAGAAGAGTAAATCTTGCCCCTGCCAGGAATTGAACCCCAGTCATCCAGCCCATAGCATGTCACTCTACTGACTAATCTATCCCAAGTCCATATTATGTTTGTGTATGCATAAATATAACACAAATGTTGCGATTAGTTTGACGATGGATGATGCCATGTTGATGTGTGCTAAAGAGGCAGAAAAACTGTCTGAGTGTCAAGGCAGAGGGGAGAGCTACCACCCACTTTCAGTATGGAGTCAAACAGCAACTGTCAGTGTGTTGCAAAGTCATTCCTTTGAATATTTCTGTCAGTTCTGGATTAATTGAAATGGCCTTCTCAACATTTCTTCCATGAATAATATGATTATTTACAATATATTGAGAATAACTTTCATTTGTAATAATTATGTATATACCTATCTGAACTACAGAAATGATGATTCTGTTGTTTTCTTTACAATTTTATTTTAAAGGAACCTCATAATTAGTTATTTGTAACATTTGAAGACTGCTCCAAAGATCATAATGTGGAGAGAAAATTTAATATTATTAAAAGTTATTTCTAAAGGAAATTTTATCCATAATCTTATATTATGCAAAAGGGAAGAAATATTGAAGTTATGGCTTTAAAACAGGTACAAAAGGCATAAAATTACTGCATATGAACTTGTTTTACTGTTAAATATGCAAAGTTCACTAAGATTAACATCATAAACACTACATTTAAAAAATTCACAATTAAAATATATTCTTTTATATGTTTTAAGTTTTCATAACATTATATTACAGCCCATATATTTACATGCACGTGAATGTAATGAAATATAACCAGACTATTAAAAATAATTAATGCAGTTTAATTAATTTGTAAATCTTATTAAAAATGCTGGCCACAAAGACTTATATTTGACAGTATGAGTCATCAGTGTAATGTGGGCTAAAAGTCACAGTGTGTTGACTAGAATGTTTATCGTTCTTACAAAAAGGCAATATTTGTGCACTTAATTACAAAAGGTGTTTAATCATTCTCAGTCCAAAGTATGAATGAGTATTATTGAGAGAATTAAGCAATTTCAAGAAGATTATCTATTTTGAAATTCAGTGAAAGAAAATACCATATTTGCTCAGATATAATCCACACTTTCAAAATTTCAGGGCTTGAAATGGAAAAAAATAAATGTTTTATACACTTACATCAGTATGTAGAGCAACTCAGAGTAAGCAAGTTTCATGTTCCTGTCTGTAGTTAACATAGAATTTTTTAGGTTAAGAAAAGGCTCTAATAATGTCAGAGGAATAGGCATAATCCATTTCTGTTAGTAACATTGATTCAAACTGAATTTGGATCGACATATTGTTTAATCCAAGCTAAAGCATCTTCTCTTTTTCATAACAGCGAGCTATGTACCTTTACTGGGCCAAGGCCATACATTGTTCCTGCAAGACCCACTTACTAGCCACATCCTGATTTTTAAAGATGTCAGTATGGGGGAAGATGGAAAGTTTGGCTTATATTTTGGCAAGTATAGTATATTAAAAAGTTAAAACTGATCAAATATCAAATTTCATAATATCATGACACAAGTTTCGTAATTATTAAACTTCTATGTGTTGTTTTAATCCAAAATACAGTATAATAACAGTGCAGAAGAAGGTACACAAAAATGCATTAGCTTTTATATATTTACACAAAATATGACCTTCAATGTACTAATTGGGATGGTCACATTACGTTAATTCTGACTTTGCAATCTGTCCCTTCAGTTATGCATTTACACTGTCAAGACATATTTGAGCTTTTATTGACTGGCACACATTCCGGTTGTCAATACAGAAATATTTCCTAATGCTAAAACCAGTATCTGTACTTCGGAAGCTATCCAAAGGTATCATCTAGGAAAAATGAACAAAATATATTCACACTTAACTAATCGTAACACATAAAGTACAATAAGCATTTCCATTTTATGATGATAGGACACGTCATATTAGCTGCCCTCCAAGCACGTCACGTGTTATCACATCGTTCCAGATCCATCTCATATGTCAGTATATGTCACTTGAGCACTTATTCGTCCGTTCCCTAACATTTACACTTTGCCTTGCGAGGCATTTCACAGTGAATCATACAAATCCAAAATGTCACTGTAAACTGATGACACACATCAGGAAGGCAGTGTGTATATGTTGCAATCTTAATGAATTTCTATGTAGCGTGGTAGTATAAAGAAAGTTTGGTACTGGTCTACAGCAGAAATTTCTGACTTGTCAGTCCATTTGTAAATGCTGCTGATAGTTTTGCTTTGTTAGTTGTGAAATGTGATCAGTCAGTGCGACAGCAGTGTAATTGATCCAGAAAGAACTCTTTTTTTTCTTTGAGTTCTGCTGCCAGACCACCATGTCATTCTTATTAAATATTTCTTTGTAGCCCTATAACATTTTGGATATGTATAATTCATTATGAACGTCTTTGTATTTCTCTGAAGTCTTATGTTTGCTGCAATTGGAAGGTAAAGCAATGACAAGAGAAATGTAATTCTTGGAGATATCCTTTCACTGATTGATTAAATTAGGGCTGTCAAACTAGTGGCATGTGGGCCACATGTGGCATACCAGCTGGTTTTGTGTAGCCCACTAGTGTATCCTTCCATCTCTCAAAATATGTGTTAACTGTTTCACTCCTTTTAAGAATGTGGCAAACCTTGTCACAAAATACTTTACAAAAATTTCCTACTAAAAATTCCACATTTTTAATTGATTTTATATGGCTGATTGTATGCAATACTGATACAATCTAGCAAACTTTGGGTTCCTCGTTTTGAGGCACATTCGGTCTGGCAATGCTGTTTGATCACTTATTTACACACTTGGCATGGTTGCATTACCTGACCCCTTGAATTAAAAAGATTGATCCATTTTACTTCACTTGCTAGCTCATTTAATTAGCCACTTTAATTTTTATAATTTTAGTACATAACAATACAATATATTAAATTTAAATAAATATTTTTTATTTGACTTTGTAGGCTTCAGCTTATCCACATGCCTGTGCTTTACAGTTCTGATCACTGTAGGGAAGATATTATAGTATGTTGTAGTAGTATCCTGGGAGAGAAATGTGTAGTCTTTATATTACAACTTGTGGATAGATACATAAGGCACAGTACAGCCCCTCAGGGGTTTGAAATTGGGCAGCCCTGGGTTAAATAAATCTAGAATCAATTGGCGTACTGACTTGTCTATTAAGACGTAACGCAACATTATATATAAATAACATTTAAATTGATGATTAGGTAGTGTCAACATACAGTGAATTTAAGTGTTATGGAAAAGAGATATAACTGTTCCACATAGTGAGAGAACTTCTTATGGGGAGCAGGACCCCATCTAATTTACTCCAGCAGTGAATTTATTAAACTTTCCTAAACGTCCCAAATTTGTATTCAGAATTATGTTAAGATCTGAAACTTTCTCAGCAAATAAATGCAGCAACATCTTCTTGGGCAGTCAGCCATGCCAAAGTAGTGACAGAGGAAATATCTGAATCATGTATGAAACAAGTATCCCCGCTCCCAGCTTGGGCACATTTTGAATTAATCCAGTTTCATGTAAATTTTATCTATATTTATTAATAAGAAGTAATGAAATTATTTGTCTGACAAGGAAAATCAGAACTGGTAAATGGCTGAAATGAATGGCATTGCAGATAATTTATTATTTATTTTTAAATGAAAATGAAAGGCAATGAAACCAAAGGCATAACAAAAATTTTGAGTTAATGCAGCCACTTGAGAACACAACTTTCACATAAACTGGGGGGATACCTGTAATGGGGGGAAAATGTGAAGGAAACCAGTGTTCAGGGCAGTGTATATATCAGAATGATACTTTTTTTCCTTTTGCTAGAGAAAATAGAGGATGTTCTTGGAGAAGATCAGTTTGGATTTAGAAGAGGAAAAGGAACCAGGGATGCAATTGGGATGATGAGAATTATAGCGGAACGAACTTTGGAGATAGATGAAGAACTGTGTGTTTGCTTCATAGACTGGCAGAAGGCATTTGACCGGGTAAACTGGACCAAATTAATGCAGATCCTGAAAGAAACAGGTATCGATTGGCATGAAAGAAGATTGATTAGCAAATTGTACATGGATCAGATCAGA